ATGGTCTCGGCCTCAGTCTTGATACGACGAGTAAGTTCATCGTCACTGCCAGCGTCCATGCCCATGTCACCATTCTCAGCGTCGCCATTGTCAGAGTTGCTGTCTCCTGGGCTGCCGTTCTCTCCATTCGCTGTCTCATTCTTCTTGTTCCGCTGTTCACGACGGGTCTTCTTGTCGGCCTTGTTCTTTTTCCCTCCTTTTCCACTAGTTTCGTTGCGGAGGATGAAAGTGCTCAGTTTCAGACGGGAATCAACATCGGAACGCTGTCCGCAGGCTTTGCAATCCAGGATAATCTTGTCATCCTTGATGATGACGTCGGTTTCAGGGTTCTTGCACTTCTTGCAAAGAACGAATTTGGAAATGAATCCGTCAAGATAATCCTGGAGCTTGGCGGCATCGTGGGCGCCATTAATGATCCAGCGATCATCGGTCGGCTTGGCGTTGGCCTGAGCGCCAAGCTCGAAACCGAAGTACTTGATCAAGTACGCAGGAGGACGGCTAAGGGACTGAGCGACCGAGTTCAGGTTGACAACGACGGTCTTGATTCCATTGCCCTTGCCCTCAATCTTGGAATGCAGGCGCTCCATCTTGTAACGGTAGAAGGGATCGGTAACATCCCGACGAATGTTGACGGTAGCCATGGCGAATAAAGATGAAGATCTTTGTTTACTTAAAAAGGTGTCTGAAAACGAAGCGGGAGGGATTCCGGACTAGGGATGTCTTGAAAGTACAAGACATGCGTAGTGGTTTCCTGATTTTGGAGGAATGGTGGCGGTTAAGATCGTCTCAACGGAACGACTGGCACAGCGAATATGGCAGCCCAAAGCTTTCAGCCACAGGACTTAGAATGTATACTACAAGGTTTCGACGCGGGACGAAACGTTTGCAGCTTGAGCGGCAGGTGGTGATCGAAATCTCTGACACAGGACGAATACATAGACAAGTTCTCGATCGACTCTGTTTTAGCGGATTTCTCCAACGGGAAGAGAGAAACCAACTGTGTGGTTCTTCTATAAGGCAACAGGAAAAGACAAAGGTCAGAATCTCGACACTTCGGATGACTGGTGGCTGACGACGAGATGACCGCAGTACTAACCAGTGGCTTTGATGAATCAAAATGCGCAGTAATAACCGTAAGCCGTGTTTAACAGCTTTCCGGGGAACTTTGGAAGACGTGACAATGTCAAGGACTGATGACTTGACGATGAAAAGAAGAGTAAGTTGGGATGGGAAAGAAAGAGAAAAAGAGGAAGGAAAGAGAAAGAAATTGTTGCCAAATAGAAGGGACGATTCGAAGGCTCCACCGCCAAGCCCGGCAGAAAAAAAATAGAAGAGGAAAAAAGTCCACTCTGAGTCAGCAGGCCGGCTGATTTCCGGATCAGGTCGGTTCCGAGCGCACGTGCACAAAGCACTTTTAAACAATGGCGTCTTCGGAGTTATGTCGGACTTAACATCCCTTCTGTCTATTGATTTCAATCTCTAGACCGTTTTTTCTTTCCAGCAGTATCAGTATTATTATCACACTGCCTGCACCGACAAACATTCCTCCCTCAGTCGTCCTTGCTTCACATCTGTTGTTTATCTTTTATTACGCAATTGAGCGAATACTTGTGCAAGATACAGCCGATCTTCTTCCTGCACACTGTACAACCCAAGGGGTTGTACAAACCAGTTACTATGGGCCTAAAGAATGCGCTTCGAGCTACCGTAAACCACTAGGGCTGCACCGCTATGAAACACCCTATCGTGTCCTTGAATACTGCCGATCATTTGATCCTTCAGTCACGCAAATTTTGACGAAGAATGACTGGTAGAATGCCCCAACTTTAAAGAATAGACGGGATACTTCACCCCCCTCACGTCGGGTCCGGGGTGACTACCGTAAATGTGATTAGAGCGATGATCGCTAAGGTACTGAATTCAGGGCCATGCAGGGGCCGAACTTCGCGAGTCGTCTCTGTCTTAGGCGCTGTTCATGCAGCTAATCATGCAGAGATAGTACCAAATAGTAGCTCAATGGTTATACTTTCTTTGTGTAGGTGCATGTACTATGTAGTAGTAGCCGATTTTTGATTGTTGTACTCGGTATATTTGTGGACAACGCTTTAGAGTACACCACCAGGATTAGGTATATTCAAAAAATTACGGAAACACAATGCTTAGACTTGTAACATTGAACGGAATAGCACAGTTGTACAGTTATTTAATGCTATTTTAGAATCGTTCATTGTGCGTTGAGTCGCGGTGTAGAGGATCGAGTTTGCCCATCTAGGGCTGTACATATACTCTGTATAGGTAGTAACCGGTTGTGATCTGAGCAGTACCAATGTACTACCCGATAATCCGTACTACAATATCCCCGGACCAAAGGAATTTTAGATAAATGCAGGGTTGGATTTATTGTAGGGTTATAGAGAATCAACAGACTCTAGGTAGGTTATGCTATTGGCGATGCGAAAGTATGACTAACTACTATTGCGTAAATCCAAGCAAACCTCCCCAACGTCATTTCACCCTCGTTCCTCGACCGACACGGTTGTATTAGTGCCATTATAAACAGGCCGAAGATCCATGAGTATCGTCGGATAGAAGGTATTGTGCTCGCCCGTTTCTCATATGGAAAATTTTCTATGCGCATCCCTATCCTTGTCCCCACATACCCCACGTGCCCCTCACCGGTGTCTCGACGCTTTATGAAAGTCCCGTAAATGCAGCCATAGATACTAATTAGCGCAACCCAGAAAAGTAAAAAAAAAAAAGAATGCCGTTGAATCTCTCCTTGTATCTGGTTACCGACTCTACCCCGGCTATCCTCAAGGGCCGTGATCTGTGTACGGTGGTGGAGGAAGCTTTGAAAGGAGGTCAGTCATTCTCTACTTCCGGGAAATTCCCCACTAACGCTTGGCGTAGGTGTCACGATAGTCCAATATAGGGACAAGAAAAGTGATACAGGAGAACAGATACAGACAGCTAAGAAGCTGCATCAGATTACCCAGAAGTATGGGGTTCCCTTACTGATCAATGACCGTGTGGATGTTGCTCTTGCCGCTGGAGTTGAGGGTGTCCATCTCGGTCAAGATGACATGGGTGAGCTATTTGCTGCCATGCAATTTTTCACTGTCTAATTTCTTGTAGCTATCGAACAAGCAAAGCAGCTTCTTCCTAAGGATGCTATCATTGGTATCACCGCTGCCTCGATAGAAGAGGCTCAGAAGGCTATTGATGCCGGCGCGGACTACCTCGGGATAGGAACCATGTTTGCAACCCCGACGTATGTTATCTGCCACAAAATGGCCCAGCAACCATATAATCTACTGTTTTAAAAATTATGCTGACCTGCATTAGCAAGACCAACACTAAGCATATCATCGGAACAGCCGGTACACAGGCTATCCTTGATGCTATCTCGGACACGGGTCGCTCTGTCGGGACCGTCTCAATTGGTGGAATCAATCTTTCTAACGTCCAACGAGTCCTCTACCAATCTAGAGCTCCTAGGAAGGAACTTGATGGAGTTGCCATCGTCAGTGCCATTATAGCTGCGGACGATCCGAAGGCCGCAGCAGCTGAATTCGTGAAATGCATTGCCACTCCCCCGTCGTTCGTTCGAGCCCCAGCAGCTCCTCAGATCCGTGAAGTTGCTGTACTACAGGATGAAGTGCCAAAGATCGTTCAAAAGGTCGTACAAGCGCATCCTCTTGTGCACAACATGATCAACTTTGTTGTTGCTAACTTTGTTGCCAATGTTGCTCTATCGATGTAAGTTGTCTCAATGTTCTGTCAGACCTGTACATGTCCAGTTAAGTGTCTTCTAGGGGTGCTTCTCCTATCATGGCCCCGCATGGGGATGAGGCTGTAGATCTCGCGCAGTTCGACGGTGGCCTAGTCGTCAACATGGGTACCTTGACTAGCGAGAGCGTTCCCAACTACCTAAAAGCCATCAAGGCTTACAACGAGCGCGGTAACCCCGTTGTCTATGACCCTGTTGGTGCTGCGGCTACGCACATCCGTCGTGGAGCAGTCAAACAGCTCATGGCAGGTGGGTATTTTGACCTCATCAAAGGCAATGAGGGAGAAATTCGACAAGTCTTTGGAAGCAGCGGCGTGACTCAGCGCGGTGTCGACAGCGGCCCAAGCAGCCTGGATGGTCAAGCTAAGGCCACCCTGGCGCGGGACCTGGCTCGGAGAGAGCGTAAGCCGCCACTTATCCATTATTCAATTGAGATCATACTAATCTGGTCGGATGCAGACAATCTTGTTCTTCTCACTGGCGCCGTCGACTATCTCAGCGACGGGGAGCGAGTCATCGCTGTGGAGAATGGACACGAACTTCTTGGACAAGTCACTGGTGTATGCTTACCTCCCTGCCCCTACAAAGTAATCAATAATACAGTATGCTGATGTGACATATAGACTGGCTGTGCCGTTGGAACCGTATCCGGCTGCTTCCTAACTGCCTACCCATCAGACAGACTCTTGGCTGTCCTGTCCGGCATTCTGATGTACGAGATCGCAGCGGAGAACGCCGCTTCGAAAGAGTACGTGCGGGGACCCGGCAGCTTTGTTCCTGCCTTCCTCGACGAGCTTTACGCTATCCGCCAAGCAGCCCTGAAGGGAGACCACAGCTGGTTTACCGGACGGGCAAAGATCCAAGTGATCGATTTGTAGATGCGTCGGCATGTGTTGATTTCATGTGAATATAAAAGTTGTTAGAAATGCTATCGATGTACACATTTCCAAAAGCAGAACTCTCTCTCTCTCTCTCTCTCTCTCTCTCTCTCTCTATCTTACACACAGAAACAACAAGATAAAGAAGCCCAAATAAATAATCTCAACACAAATATGCAAGAGAAAATCAGTTTTCCATCCAATACACACACAACCTCAAGCATAGCCCCTCAGTTTATGCCTGACAAATCAGGCAACAGACCCATGATCATCTCCGCATACTCCTCACGGACTTCCCCGCCCGATTTCCTCCGCAGTCATCGTTCTTGACAATTAACCGCAAGTCATTCAATCCATATCACGCATCGCACATTCATCTCACCAGTACCAATCGCTATACCCAAACTCCTACACCAAAACCATCCAAAATGGCCACCATCACAAGAGCAGCCCGCATCCGTAAGTTCCCCTACAAGTCCAATATGTAGAGAAACACTAACAAAAGCAATAGGCAACCCGGCCCTATTGTACGTCCATTGAATACCCCAGAAGAAAGTCCACCATAAATCTTACAATTCTACCAATCCAGCATCTGCGACATCCAAGAGAAATTCAGACCTGTGATCTACGAATTCTCGAAACTGTACGTCTACCATAAAACTTCATTGAGCAAATTCAATCCCCTAGAATTCAATCATCCCATACAACCACAACCCCCAACTCAAGAATGCTATTCCCAAAACCAACAATAATAATAACAAATGTGCAATATATTAAAAGAATCCCAACAACAACCAAACTCCTCAAAGCAGCCAACACCCTCCAAATCCCTACCTATGTCACAACTCAAAACCGGTCCAAACTCGGTGACACAGTCTCCGAACTGCAGCCCCATCTCTCATCCCCGAATGTGAAAGCCGATATCGACAAGACCCTGTTCTCTATGATTACCCCCGAGATCGAGGCCAAGTTGCCTAAGGTTTCTGCCGGGGAAACGCCATTCGATGCTATTATCGTGGGAATTGAGACGCATATCTGTGTTACGCAGACAACGCTGGATTTGTTGGAGAGAGGTCATCGGGTTTATGTTATAGTGGATGGCGTGAGTAGTGTTAATAGTGAGGAGAGGGGTATTGCCTTGGCGAGGTTGAGGGATGCTGGGGCGGTGGTGACGAGTAGTGAGAGTGTGTTGTTTGAGGTTTTGGGGGATGCGGGCCATGGTGGGTTTAGGACTGTTAGTGGGTTGGTTAAGGAGATGAAGGAGGAGACGAAGGGGGCTTTGGAGGTTTTTTCGAAGATTTAGATTTTCGTCTTTGAGAGATTTGGCTTGATTTTTTGTTGGATTTTGTGGTTATAAAGTAGGAAAAAGGATTGGGTGACCTTTTTGAATTGAGATGTTTATGAAGAGTGCTATACGGATGGTTTTATAGTAACTGCTTCAGTTTCGAGGGAATGAATGTCAATTTGTGGGACTGCAGTCAGGATGTTACTACTACGCTATAAACCGGTTACTGCATAGTACATGTGAAGTCGACAAACACCGTCAAACGCTCAATTTAACGTCGCCGAAGACGGTTACGTTACACGCATAGGTAGCCCGTCAATCAGGACTGGACCCCTAATTTATTTCATTTAGGGTTCGTCACAGCTCGGGTCGGTTGAGACGAGTTGAGCCACCCAAACGCAGAGGCGCCGCCAATGGGATTGGATACCCATGGTTTACCCGTCCGAGTCTCGTCTGGGGACGCTCGCGAGGATGCCGGCTGAGAGGGCACCGGGACTGCATCATTACTGGAGCTGGTGGGTACGGTTGTAGCCGATGACGTTCGAGAGGAAGACTTGGTCGGGCGCAGGACTTTCATAGGGCGAGTTTTGGAAGTCTTACAGGCGGTGGAAGCATTAGAATCTAATCTGGTGTCGCGTTTCCACGAACCCCAAACCCCGGTTGACTCCACCTTCGCCGGGCCCTCCGGCGGAGACCCAGCGACTACAGCTGGCTTGCTCACGCTGGTGGATTCGGCGGTCCTTGGTAGTTCCTGGGTATCCAAAGATGTCTTTCGACTTTCTTCAGGTTCCTCAGTCGAGTCTCTAGCGGAAGCAGATGCTGACCTGGACTGTCGAGACAGACTCCTAGGTGGGCCAATGACACCGACTGAATGGCCATTGGTGTCTGGTTGAGCGCTAGTTTGAAGCGATTGAGTCGTGCCCGTAGTACGTGAGGCATCCGACGCCGTGCGAAGGAACTTGAAAGCTGAGTCATCTTCAGGCCGCACAAGAGGGATCGAGATCTTGTTCCGCTCATCGTCCACCATGATAATCTTGTCCTGTGAGAAGAGCAGTTCTGCATTATGAGAACGAAGGATATCACTGCCAAGAACAATCTGAATGGAAGGGTCACTGGAATCGATGTCACGGACAAGGAATCGGACAGTCAGTGAGGGCAGCTGGTGGACTGGGCTACCAGGCCTGGATGATGATTGGTGAATGCTAGCCTCGGGAAGATACATCGGAAGCTTGATGAACTGCAGGTCTTCCTCCTGTGTTACCAGGCCCTCGAGACCAAGCTTTTGAATCAAAGGATAGCCCAGTGACGATTTATACGACCCCGAGCAGACAGCTGCATACAGAAGCGAGTCATTGGAGAAGTTGGTCGTCAACCAGCACCGTATAATGCAGGGTACAGGGCCAAGGAGAAAAAGTCCAGGTGGAGGAATGAGAGGGGAACCACCGACAGAAGAGCCCATCATTCTGCTGGTGGTTTCCAACCCTAGACTATTGGTACGCGCCGAGTGATGGGAATGTCCCGATGAGCTAAGTCGTCCGTCAGATCGGTGAGACAAAGACCGCTCGGTCAGCGGATGGCTTCCCATGCCACTCCCCGTTCGCAGTGGGAGCTCGCTGGTAGACCGACTAGCTTGCCCATAGTAACCGTGAATAGCGCTTTCATCAAAGCGAACACTATTCGCTCTGGATGTCCCTCGTCTTGGTTCCTCTTCGCTCTCTATGCCCATGGTCCCCCCAACCCCGTGATGCTGTCCCTGATCGAAACCTTTGAAAGCGTCGGCCGGCGAATGAAAGATAGGCTCTGCAAAAGGAATGAGATATCAGCTCCTATCCGAAAGCAATTCAAAGACCAAGTGAACACACCTGTCGGTATTGTGCCTGCAACGGATGTAGGAAACGGAGATAGAGGACCCCAGACACTTTTCAATCTCGCATCATCGTCCCTTCGCCGCTCCAGTCTTGCGATTCGCTCCGCCTGCTCGAACTGTGTAGCATGGAGCTCCTTCAGCTCTTCGAAGACGCGCCAGATGTCGTCACGTGAAGCAAAAGGGTACTGAGCATCCATATCCGAACGACTGGATAAGGGTGGCGAACAATGCAACGACCAGGGAGAACAGGACACAAATGAATCAGATCCCAGGAATCAGACAACGGTATGTTTCTCCTTCAAGCTACCTTTCCGCCTTAGCCGGCCAGGGTTACGTAGCTCACTTTATCCTCGAGACTCCTCCCTCCTCTGTGAGACGGCCGTACGGCCGTCCACCCGGTTTGCTAAAGATGAATATCTGCAACCTTTACCAAAACCATATAAACCTAATAGCAGCTTGCTGTTTGGGTGTTCTCACTCAACAACGCTGATGAGTAATAACGGGGAACGAAGTATCGACAAGGGTGCCTTGATTCGGACGGAAAGAATGCCGACTTGACGGTTGTCGAGAAATATCCAATGAGGTAAGAAGCGACCACCTCAGCTCGTGTTGATAGGCCGCGAAAATTGTTAAAAATGGGAATAAGGAGCTGTAGGATCGACTGAAGATTTTCTAGCAAGGAACGCCTAGGAGAGAAATGATCTGCTTTGCAGGAGGAAATGCGAGTTGGATGCTAGGTCGGATGCTCCGGCGCTTTTTTAAGGGTGACTTGAAACACGAGTGGTTAGATTGCTCAAAGAAGATGCAAGAAATTTCAGGAGACAGGAGAAACAAGTTCGTAAGATCGTGGAGGACAGAAAATTATGCGCTTTAAACTGAAAGGAAGGGTGATGATGAGGCAAGGAAGCAGTATGGAAGGTGAAAGACAAAAGATGAGGGGATGAAATTCAATGCAACGGCCGTCACTTTCTATCTTGGGCTTAGTCTGAGTTTCTTTTGTCTCCGACGGAGTTTGGACTTGGAGCCGATTCTAGACCGCTTTTGCTTGCACACCCTCACTAATTACAAGGAACCGACAATAACAGTCAACCTTTTGAACTTATACTACATTCTAGAAACTCCGGAAAATTTATAGGAATTTGATCTTTCCATTCTATAGAACGTGGTAAACTATCGATCCGTGCGGATCCCCACCCGTTGCCACTACATATCTGTCGCTCTCTTACCTTGGCGCCTCCGTCCATGCGGGATGAACCATATCCATTGCAGTAGGTTCTTCCTCCGGCCACTTTGCTCGAATCGTTTCCATAATCGCATCAAACACAACCCGATACCCATCCGCCGTCAAATGTAGCCCTTTTCCATAGGTTAGTCAGACACTAGACACAAACGAAAAGAACAGCACAGACCATCAGTGAAAAATCGCGCAAATTGATCCAAATTTGGCAAATCTCTTGAGCCCGGCAGTGGCTCGCCCTCCTTCCAGCCAACAGCAGACATGAACGCCTTCCATACATCCACTACAGGGATGCCGAGAGAGGTGCCAACTTCGCGAACTGCCTCCACATATTGTTTAGTAAAAGCGGCGGTTCGGCTGGGATGGGCATTTCCCTTGGACTCGTCAAACCCCTGTAATTGGTATTCGTTTACAGGGGGTGGTGTCAGCAGGAGGATATGTGGATTTTGGGCCACTGTTGCAGGATGTTGGATGATTCGAGTTAGATTCTCTTTATACACGTCCAATGGGAGATGCTGGGGGCTGCCGGGGAGACACGCGTCATTGGCTCCAAAGAAGATAGTCTATACTTAAGTTAATATTCGTAGACTACTTCGAAATACTTGATAAGATTAGCCAGCGTACCATGAACCGCACTGTGGCTTTTTCCGGGGTGGGAAAGAACTTGGGAAAGACTTTGATGGCATGACCAGAGGTATAGCCACTATAGGGAGTTATGCGGTTAGTAGGACTGTTATCGAACAAGTCAAATGCTCTGGCGTAACGCACCCAAACCCACGGTTGATCACGTCCAGGCGTCGGCTGTAAGCTGTAAGATCTCAGCAGCTGCATGAAGCAGTCGAAGGGGAGAAAAATAAAATACTACCTACCATCCTGCAGTGCTGCGAATAACCCAAACCCCATGTGGGGGTCACTGGACATCTGGGTGATTGAATCCCCAAAGAGGATGAATTGATCATAAGGCTTGTACAAAGCCATTTCCTCGGCTGCCATTGCGAAACAAGATTGTCCAAGATTTACTTCTTAACCTTTCTAAAATAGCTGGTAGCTAGTTGGCGTATAACAATATTGGGAGGAGAGATAGAGGAGAGATAGAGGAGAGAGAAGATTAAGTACTATACTACCGAATCATGGAGGGGCTTCGTAGAGATCAAATAGTTCACGATCCAATAAAGATTCTGACCACTCAGCGGCCGTCGGGGATTGCGGCAGATAAACGGTGGATCTCGTAAAAACACAATTAATTGCTTACTTAGACTTTAAAACCGTCTACCACTGTCAACTCCTCCATAATATCCACTTGAAAGATACTGGTCAGCCCTTCTTTCATACGTATTTGACAAATGCAAATGGAATAGCATAGCATCCGCATGGAAGGCTCTGGACCAGCCATCTATACGCTTCTAGACATCGAGGTTTTTCCACCAACAAACTTGGCTCCTGCGCTTGTTCAAGTGGGGTCCTTTTTCAATTAGTGGTTCCTCCTCAGCCTGATTTGACAAGGGAGAAGGGGTTCACAACTAAAATGGCCGTGTTCGAAAGGGAATACGGCCAAATTTCGTGCAAGCAAAGAGAGGAGAAAGAAAGCTTACTCTCCTCTACCCCCAGAAGCTTTGTCCGTGTTCATCAGAATTGCTTGTATGAAATTTGACGAAATCAAGTACGCTAATCGAAATTATCCAATCATATCATATTTAAACCTGGGACAATGAAGTACGCTCTATATTAAGCCCATTTCCTCCCCATTGCATGCACCGCAATAGTGGGTAGCAAGCTACAGCTGAATATCATGGCGCTCGCAACACCTGAACTAGCAGCGACACCAACGTTCGCAAACATATCAGGAAACCTATTTGATGTCAATTATGAATGAGCGTGACACTTGTTTCGAAAGACTTACCAAAATGGGCCGATGAAGCCCCATATCTGTCGAACAAATGTAATGAAGACCCCTACACTTCCTGGATCGTCTGGGTGGCAGTCGACGGCATATGTGACCATGACAGTAGTCACGACTTGATTACCAAAGGCAGCCACTCCAGTTCCAACAATAGGCGTCACAGTCCAATGCCCCTCAGGGGCCTGCTGGGTACATACTAAAAAGACAATGACGCCAACAATGGTCAAGACAATGCCGGGGTAGCTGAGCCAGAGACGGAATTCTGGCTCTGGCTCCTTTCGTATACGCCGTGCTCGGCGATTCATCCAGTAATCAGATATGGAACCCCCGATTTGCTCTCCTAGGATTGTGCCAACTATGACCCCGATAAACTGGAGACCAAGTTGTTCAGTATTGAGAGCAAATTTCTCTTGTAGGAGCTGAGGAACTTCGACGGTGATCATGACACTTCCGAATAAGAACACCATGGCATACACAACAGCTGGCACGACTACGCTCGGGCGCTTAACCATGGTCAACGGGTGAACGAATTCCCTGAATGTCAGTGGGGTGGGGTCGATGCGTCGAAACGAAAGATATTGGGTTTTGAAGCCAGAAGGTGAATCCTCTGTACTACCACCAATATAGCGGGTTTCGGGCCCAAAGAAGATGTACAGGATGAATTGCACGCCATTAGTGATGGCGAGAACCCAGAAAATCCAGCGGTAGCCCGCGCGATTCGCAACAAAACCAAAGATCAATGCACCTAGTAAGTAATAGTTAGCGGAGCCAAATACCAAAGCAATATTTGCGTTCGCACTAACCAACTGGTATACCCAAGGTGACCATTAAGGTCCATATGCCCATATACCGGGCCCTCTCTTTCTTGAAGAAAGTCTCTGCCACAACGGCACTTCCGATCGCTGCTGCTGGAGAGATGAAAAATGCCGTTAAAGCTCTACATGCGGCCAGGGACGCATACGTCGGGCTCTTCGCACATCCTACATTACAAACAAGGCTGAGGATGGTGGATAGCAGAAATATAGGCCGACGACCGTACCGGTTGGACAATGGTTTCCAGAAGAGGGGAGCACCACCAAGAATAGCAATCTGTAGAGAGGTAAGGTAGCTGGCTCTTTGTAGAGATACTCCTAAATCGACGCTAATGTCCTCATAGGCAGGGGTGATTGAGGATGTAAAGGTCGCCATGCAAGCATGAAAGGCGACAAGTAGGAGGTTGGTTAATTTCTATAGTAAATAGAAGTTATCAGGTGAGGCTTGAGCTATATACTCAGGAGAGCTTCATACCTTCCAAGTAGGCCAGTTGTATGGGTCTGCGTCTGACGCACTTGGCATGGGGTCTAGGTCCAAGGTGCCATGTCGTTTAAAGAGATATTCACGATGAGATGGAGACAGCGAAGATGAAATGTCATCAATCTGTGATGAGCTGACCTCTGCTTTCTCGATACACTCGCTATCTTCCTTTTCCAGGGAGGAAAGGTCCTTGCTATCTGGTGATGGGATCGATGGGATAGATAGGACCTCCCCTTGATCCTCTGTTCTCTGATTTGATGGCATGGTATCGGGCAAGAAAGGAATATATACGGAGTCGGTCTCTTAAAAAAATTGGGATTATTTGAAGAACATAACTTAACACTAAGCAGAGAGGAGTAGGGGATGAGAGCTGAGTAGCCCTATACCAGCGGCAGGTAAAGGCTTATAAGGGAGGAGCGGATGGTCTGGCAGTTAGGTTGCCTCCCATTTTGTTATGAACAAACCTAGGGAACTGTACAGTTGGTCCCAGTTGGCCGTACCTCCTGAAGTTTCGGACTGATGGATATCTGGGGAACCTGGGGGTGGATGGAACCTCTCTACTGTGGGGATTAGGACTAGTCTCCACAGCACGTCAATACCAGACTGGGTGCTCATAGGCTTGTCTCAACATACAGTTTGCTATCTTGTGGAGAAGTGGCTTGTAGGTTCAGTTCAGCTCTGTGGAATGCTTACGACACAACCATGTTAGTGGGTGCAGAAGAGGAGAGAACCCCATTTCAGAAGTATAGTATCCATTAAGATCAATTATATACGACCCAGGTGGTGTAGTTGTTTGCCAATATTTGCCTTCTATAAATAACAACAACATCGCGTTTTACTGCTGAAAAAGATCCCCCAAAACTGTTGCTATGAGAGCTTTTATGGTAAAACAAGGAGACGTGAAGCAGAGAGCGGGTTACGTTTCCGTTTCAAGGTAGTCAGGCCGAGTCCAGCTCGGCCCAAACTACGAGGTACAGTTAGTATCTTCGGACTTTGGTGGTCCAGATTCATTACCAGGTTAGCTACTTGATCGGGATTTGTGGGGATTGTGGGGTGGCCATAAATTTCGTAGATGATAGGAGTTGCAACGAGGACGGTCCATGCGAGAATAGGAGATATAGCTCCTTATATAGAGTTTCCTTCTACAAGTCACATTCTGTAGCTACTGCAATATAAGTAGTATAACTTAGCTGTTTGACTAAAAGATATTGGCCTTTCCTAGTGCGGGATTACAGTAATAGATCCATACCATCTTCTAGTAGCCCCAAAACGGGTTGCCATTTTTGCCTCCAGGTGAAATATGATGTTGCTACCAAAAATAGATGATATGCTCCCCTTAAATATCGTGACATGCCAAGATCTTACCCACAAGCTTTATTACACGGTGTATAATGTGGTTAATCAATACTTGGAGAAATCGCTGATCAGTGTTTCTTACGTTGACCCATAGTACATTCAATCGCGAATCCCAGACAGCGTAACAGCCACGCCGTTCCCTGCAGGCTCATCTCCATACAGTGAGGCGCCAGTGGTATAACCACACTCTCAACCTTAGGACTCTTTGTCCGGAATATTTCGGTGAATTGCATGGTGCCTTCTTCCGATGAGTCCCAAAAGCCATCCTGGTCACCTATCGCATATAGAAAAGGCACAGTAACCCGCTCGGCATACGAACGCCAGTAGCTCTGCCACATCGTGCGGACATCATGTAGCTCACCCAGGGGAACAGGCTTGTTAAGGGCCTCCGTGTGCGAGGAGATTTTCAGGTCGATAAGCAGTACTTCATTTGCTTTGGGTGGAAAGTTAAGCATCAATCTATCTTTCACGTTAGGATTGAAGCGAATATGCATTTGTTGCTCGTCTGCTTGGTCGCTGTCACGGCTTCCGTGGCTATCCCCCTCATTTCTGTGACTTGGATTTGGCGACTCATGCATGTGGCTCTTGCAGCCGATTCCAGACACGACCAGCCCTACCAGAGGATACTTTTTCGGTTCTGCAGCAGCCACGATGGCCATCATTCCTCCTATCGAATGTGCCAGTACCACCATACTGGATGCACTGGATCCAAATTCTTTCCACAATGCTGGTAGAATAATCGAGTTGAGGTATTTACCTTGTTCCTGGACGAATGTAGTGCATCGTCTTTCGAGGTCTTCATTCTTAATTTTTGGATCGGGGTAGGCCGTGCTACCACCATATCCTGGTCTATCGATCGCAACGATGGGTATCTGAAGAGTCTCTCCGAGCGTGAATATGGAATGCTGAGAGTCGATGTCGAAATACTCAGAATCATAGCTTGCTCCATGTATGCAGACGACAAGGGGTATCAGCCGAGATGTTCCTGATGTTCGAGGCTGCGTGGGGATGAAGGAGCGGCCTGTGAGGGTTCTTGCGCCCTCTAGTTTCAATACGAACAGTTGCATGATGATATATTTGTGTATTCTAGCCTTATGGTATGGCCGGAAATCAGGAGTGAGGGGTTTTAAGTGCCATTGTGTTAACGCTTCATCCAGTTGGCAGTCCTCAACCTTTATATGTACACTCTCGGTGATGAGGGGATAATATGCCGTGTTATCCCTGAGAATTTCAAGGCACTCAACCCATCTCGGTCATTCAAGCTGGCCGAATGGCCGAGTTACACAATAAGTATGATTGGTCATGGATATACTAAAACTTCACTCCCACAAGGAACGATAGGAACAAGGTAAGAGGCCATAAGTGGACCTGATATATGAATACTGATCATATCTCTTCTCTAAGGGTAGAAGGAAACTTGCATAAGCGGTGGTAGCAGATTGATTCTCAATCCCGCTTTCCCAATATGGGTGCATTGACCATACTAAAAGCCCCTTGCGGGAAGAGGTCATGAGCACTAGTAGTCGGAGGACTGCACAGTCGAAACATGCAAAGTTTAGTACTGCATGCCGGGTATGCACTTGTCTAGTATGTTAGGAATTGAAGGGCAAATGCAAAATGTACGATGATATCATACTTCATTGGCGGTCTGCGGAGTAATGCACGCCGGGATAAAAATAAGATAAAAGAGTACTAGTATACTACTCCGTACTAGTAGTAATATTGGATCGTCCTGCAAGGTGGGAACAATAAGAGATGAAAGGAACCAAAAAAGCGAGAGATCTACGGGATATTTAGGAGATTTTACTAACAACCTTCTGCTTTGTTCGGGTGACGCACACGGCTGTTTAATGATTGAGTCGCCTTTTTTAAGGCTTGACATCAGAGTTGCTGATCTTTTCCAGGGATCTTGTTGGGAAAGAATGGTGGGGTAAGAAGAGGAAAGCAAATATGTGGACTTCATTCAATCCAGTGAGCATGAATGGCTGCCTGAATAAAGTTAGTTTAATTTACATACGCTTTGTTACACGCGCCTCACGTGTTCGGGGGGGGTTCTCCGGATTTCTTTGTTCACGTTGTTATTGCAGCTGCACTTTCAAGTTTCAAGTTACCCCCTCCCTTTGAACTAAAAGGAAGAATTTTCCGGGATGTATGCTTTAATCTTAAAGGATAGTTGATTTGTGGCGGATATCCTGGGAGTCTCAATATAATTCGATCTCCAGCGTCGGAAGAGTAAATTGGGAATTTGATTTATCAGATGATGTGCGTTTAGTCCCGTGTTTTGGCTCCATTTATTGATCTGTGGGTCATCTGCCATCGGACGCTGTTTTAAACTATCTTGAGAACAATGGTTCTTGCTTCTCCTTTCTTTCACCACTGCAGTCAGGGCTCGTTTACTATGAATAGTGCTCCCCCTCCTTGACTGCTTGCTATATTCCTCTGCAATCTGACTATTCTTGTGATTTGACTTCCTTATCGCCCTTTTACTTGAGACCTTTTGTTGAACATTTAAGCCCACCACGTTTCACCGCCGCTTCCAGCCTCGGACAGGGCAGCTCACCCGAGTCAACAGAGATTGAAAACAGGGTTGATCTTCTCTGAATTTTGTGGCGAATGATATGTTTTGGTATACTTACTCCGTTACGCTGGGTGCCTTGCGGGTGGCTTTGTGTTAACCAGGGAATCAGATCATTACGTCTAACCCCGAAGTACCTACCGCTTCAACATGCCTCGCTCTGTCCCCTCCAACTTCACTTCCCTTTCGCAGGAAGGCGGTCAAGCTCCGAGCGAAGATGATCGTCAGAGATCTCTCTCCCGAACGGCTCCCCCCTCCCCGGCTGCGGTCAGACGACAACATAGCTATCTCTCAGGAGCACATACCGGTTATCAGTCATTACAACCACCGTTGGAGATCGGCGAAACAACCAGCTTGCTAGGGAAAGATCGAGAAAGCCGTCGAGGTGTACGACGGTCATATACCAATATTTCTACTGGTTCCGGACCCGATACCAGCTTTCGACACAACTTGTTGGCTGGGAACTTCCGCCGATCACGCCATCACAGCCGTGCTCCCTCCCAAGCATTGCGAGTCAGTCGGCGGGAAAGTATAGATGCGGATCAAGCTGAGAATCTTGCTGCATCGGTCAAAGATGGCCTGAACTCTTCGTTTATGGATGATCGAACTTGGTATGACCAATTCACCTCCACCGACTGGGTACATGATAGTATTGCGGACGGCGAGCGCCTTCGACAGTTGCGGGCGCGGAAAGACCTGCGGGGTCGACTTCTAGCATGGTTTGATGGTGCTCAGGGCTGGGTTCTCGCTGCGCTAATCGGCTGTATCACGGCCGCTATTGCTTATTTCGTGGACATAACCGAACATTTTGTGTTTGATCTCAAAGAAGGGTTTTGTACTACGCAATGGTTTCGTAGCCGCCAAGAATGTTGCAGGGACAATCCCATGTGTTCTGCATGGTGGTCATGGTCCAAGATGCTAACCTTCTCAAGCACGGACAATCAATGGACGGACTTTGGCATGTACGTAGCTTGGGTGGTTATCCTGTCCGTCATTTCTTGCTCCCTCACGTTGCTCACGAAGACGGTTGTTCCTTCGTCGGTCTCTTTAACGACACTGGATGAAAACCTGGGTGCAGCATCGTCGCAAGGTACAAAACACACCGATGCAACTGCTGACAGCCCAAACTCCGATACCAGTCCGCGGACACCCTATTCGGCGATTCCCACGCGTCCTGATATGGTTTACTATTCTGCGGCGGGTAGCGGGGTTGCTGAAGTGAAAGTCATTAATAGTGGTTTTGTTTTGCACGGGTATCTGGGCTTCAAAACACTGGCAATCAAGACCGTTGCTTTGATTTTCAGTGTGTCATCTGGCCTAAGCTTAGGCAAGGAGGGTCCGTATGTCCATATCGCCACCTGCGTGGGAAACATCTGCTGCCGCTTGTTCGCCAAATACAACCGCAACGATGGGAAAAGAAGAGAGGTGTTGAGCGCGAGCGCTGCGAGTGGTGTTGCAGTAGCTTTTGGGGCCCCCATTGGTGGTGTTCTCTTTAGCCTCGAGGAAGTTAGCTATTATTTCCCTCCGAAGACGCTATTTAGAACATTCTTCTGCTGCATTGCTGCAGCACTCTCTCTGAAATTCCTCAATCCTTATGGAACGGGTAAGATTGTTCTGTTTGAGGTTCGATATATCAACGATTGGGAGATCTTTGAGCTAGTGATATTTATTCTTTTGGGGGTGCTGGGAGGCGCTCTTGGAGCCCTTTTCATCAAGGCATCTAGTTTATGGGCTCGCTCATTCCGGCGAATCCCGGTTATCAAGCGTTGGCCACTGCTGGAGGTAGTTCTTGTCGCGCTGGTGACTGGCCTTGTCAGCTTCTGGAATCGTTATACTAAATTGGCCGTATCCGAACTTCTATTCGAGCTGGCCAGTCCTTGCGATCATGAATCCTCATCGCCAACCGGGCTGTGTCCAAACGAGGATGGCATTGTCGAAATTATCCGCTACCTACTTGTTGCATTCGTTATCAAAAGCCTGTTAACGGTAGTTACATTCGGCATAAAAGTGCCGGCGGGTATCTACGTCCCGTCCATGGTTGTTGGTGGCCTCTTGGGACGGATCGTTGGTCATGTGGCACAATATTTCGTGGTGAAATACCCATCATTCCCCTTGTTTGGGTCCTCCTGCCCAGCTGTGTCGGGGATGGAATCGTGTGTGACCCCAGGAGTGTATGCGATGATCGCCGCAGGGGCTACCATGTGTGGTGTCACCCGCTTGTCAGTTACATTGGCCGTCATCCTCTTTGAACTGACAGGTAGTCTTGCCCATGTCCTTCCGTTTTCCTTGGCCATCCTTTGTGCCAAATGGACTGCTGATGCGATCGAGCCCCGCAGCATCTATGTAAGCATCTACTGAAACTCAGGGTATTCTGCTACCGGACTACATGCTGACTTGGACAGGATCTCCTGACTGATATGAATTCGTACCCGTTCTTGGATAACAAGATACAGGTCGTGTCAGATGCAGAGCTCGGGGACCTGGTGAGACCTGTACGCAAGAGTCGTATCATTGATATCTCAGACTCTCCCTTCGTACCAGCGACAGAGTTGCGCTCCAAGCTTCAAACTCTTCTCATGGCAGGAGAATTAGATAGTGGCCTCCCTATATTACGCCACGATGTCTTGTCTGGGTTGATTCCAGCCCCAGACCTCGAATATGCGCTGGACAATCTCGAGGACGAAGAAAACACGTTATGTCTGATGACGCTAGATACGATGTCAGTTGTGTCCGACAGCGATGATGAAGATGCCATTCGAGTGGACTTTAACCGCTATATTGACCCGGTATGTGAAAAGAAATCCCCATATCTCATCACAAGCTGATGCATGTATAGGCCCCCATTGCTCTTGATATCCACTCACCTGTGGACCTTGTTTACCAGTGCTTCGCTAAGCTAGGCCTACGGTACCTATGCGTCCTTCAAAATGGACAGTACGCGGGTCTAGTCCATAAGAAGGCTTTCGTGAAGTTCATGAAGGAGAACGAGTGATTCTCTTTAAGCAGCTCGAGCCGCTTGCTGTAAAAGAGAATGCAACCGTATACATATTGTCAACGTCTTTATAGCATTGACCGGCGTTATGTTTCGGTACCTGCACGCATTCCTGGTCTTGGGAAGCATCTTTTGTTTTGTTTTTGCATATATTTGAGCTTGAGCATCATGCACATACTGATCTTACTATAAACTGTACTTTTCTTAGCGCTGTTTCTACTACCAAGTGTGTATCAGCGGAGGATGCCTGTATACTTAATTATGCTTGACGGAGTTTGACGTCTTTTTGTTGATAGATATGTCTTCATTAGCAAGCGCCTCTTTGACTGCAGATGCCTAGCATTGAACCTCAGATGGGGAAGACTCGCCCTATATAGATTATCATTGCACAAAGCAATCGAACGCTATCGTTATATACAAGAAAATAAGAGGCTAAACTGTGCACAGTGCCCGAAACTTCAATTGACCCGTTCATATCCAACCATCTGAATCCTAACCTCGCCTTCGTCTTTCCATTCACCCATGACAGGCTCACCCACCCACTCAGTCACTTCCTCCGCACTCACCTTCTTCCACCCCTTCTCCATGAGCAACTCCTCATCAATCGGAAAGAAAGTATCACACTCAAACCCAGCCTTCTCCCCATCCCACCCCTTCTTCTCAACATTCGTCATAACAATCCTAACCGGTCGATCGCCTCCCAATTTCAAAGCAGCCGAATAAATCTCCGCACCCCCAATCACAAAAACGCTCCCCAACCCCCCTTTAAACTTCTCCTCCACATCTCCAAGCGCCGCTTCCAACCCAGAACTAACAATCGCATCCGTAATCGGCCCCTCCTCCTTATTCTCCCCAGCAGAAGTAGCCGCAGCAGCAGCGGCATCCATTTTCGCCCTCTTCCTCTCCAATTCCTCCGAGACCCGTTTACTCACACCCGCCACATCCCGCGTAATAACAACACTAATTCTCTTCCCCAGCGGCCGCAGACTCTTAGGCACGGAATCGTATGTCTTCCGGCCCATGATCATGGCATTTGTTGTACCTGGGCGTGGGGGGCGGGTTGTCACGCGCGCGAAGAAGCTCATGTCGGCTTTTATGCGCGGCCAGGGGAGCGTGCCATTTAGGCCGATTCCGAGGAGGGTTTTTTCGCGCGTGGGGACTGGGGTCGTTGCGACTATTAGGGTGAGGGGGTTTGTTGGTGGCATTTTTGCTTAGCTTGGTGGGGTGGTGAGGGGTTGGTTGCTTTTTTTCTGGGTGGGTAGTGTTGGTTGCGAGGTTGGAACTTTTTCCTAGGTGATGGGGGGTTGTAGGAGGTTTTGCTTGTTGTAGAATTATATGGTTATGTTCAAAAGGTTAGGTCATAGAGTTGTTGAATTGTATAAGTTGGAGCTGAGTTAGTGCACGCTTGCCTTATCGGGACAATTATGGGTGGAGCCCTAAGGTACCACAGCATTGACCGCCTACTACTATTAGCGGTGTATCTCTATATTAGAAGGCGGTCTTTGATGAGGTTTGTTTGAATCCCCGACCGGGGAAAGGGGATTTTTTGCTTGATTTTGGGATAATAAAATCTTCATTGTACTACTCTGTATTGAGCTGAGAATTACATGGGATAATAATCATCTAGTAAGCTAATTTCAGATGTTTTTTTGTACAAAAATAATCGTTCATTATAGCGTAGGCACCTTGCAAGCCTAGCATCGCTGAAGATACACTATTCTGTGGTGCAACTGATGGAGTGTTCGATTTATTCTGCCACACAATCAACTGTTTATCTTATCGCGATCACTATCAATCAATACATAGAAACCATATGCATCTTTCCAAGAGACTACTTCAACTCACTACCAATTAACATGTCTTAAACAATGGCATAGAAATCAGCAGTAAGAGTCTTCCCTACTGTTATCTATAAGCGTTGATGATTTTGAATGATGGTTGGTCTGCCTATGTTTTAAATATATATATATATATATTTTTTTTATTCGATCTACCAACTTGGAATTTTAAACTGCAAGACACTTCGTGCTATAGTAGCTTATGGAAATATGTCACACATGGCTAAGATCACCATGACTATTCGAAAAGATGTTGGAGTTAGTGACTTTCATTTGTCTTCCATTGTATGAAAGGTATGAATTGCTAAGGCCTATGCAACCTATTTAAGAAAATTAATGCAGGAATACATTTAAATGATATACATTCAAGAGTACCACAACAGGGATACTGCACCCACCATATATCTCCATATATGAAAGGATGAAAGAAGAAGAAGAGGAAGAAGAATCGACTAAAGCACACTTGGTACACAACAACCACTCCGTTAACATCCCAAAGCAATGCCGCTCGCCACCCCCGAACTTCACAAAAGCAACACTCCCCCAAACTAAAGATCCTTGTTACCCCCCGAGATACATCGATCATCTGTAGCAAAATGTAGATCGTCAAGCGAGTCCCCGCAATATTTCGTCTTATCCCAGGTTTCCTTCCGCCCTACAAGGAGCGATCCACGCCAGGAACCACCATGAGACATCCGGAAGCACTCCTGCTCACATATCCAATAAGCCCTATCCCTCATGGTCTTTCTGATGGCGCCTTGAATGGTCTCGAGCTGGGAATTGGTACTGCACGTAGAGCCTTCGGTATGGGACTGGTAACACCACTTGAACTCCTCTTCCTCGCCGCATATTTCTGCGCATACGTTTTCGTCCGACAATGTTTTGATCGTGACTGCCATCGGACGAAGCCATGCATCTATGGCTGCTTCGCCGTTACTGTAATTGCAGTACGGGTAGTCGCCGATGAACCGCATCGGACACATTTTGATGGAGTCCCGTTTCTCTAGGCCTCGTGGTGCGAGGTCATTTTCGGTTATGTTGAGACCGGGATTATATTCGAGTCCCTGCTCTGATGGAGACAGGAATGCGGCAAGTGCTGGAGTTGCGTGCCAGCAGGCGAACGCGAAGAGTAGACTTTGAGCGAATAACATTGTTAACAAGGTTGTTGATGATGACGGCAAGACTGATCAAATTCTCCGACGAGATGACTGGGTAGACTTAGACATTCCCAAGATAATGACTCCAGTTGGGAAAGAACAGGTAATTGTCCCCTTATGATATTGTAGAGCGTGCCTGACTTTATAATCCTGCCTCCTCTGTTCTTGTGATAGGGCTTAGAGCAATAATACCAAGAATATATTTTTTTTCTTGGGAGACGGCTAGACAAAGAACTTGACTTGGAGCTCGAAAAAAACACCTCGTTAATATCACTCTGGCTTTGGCCCCGTTGCCCGACGCCCCATACTACTATATGCCCTTTGATACACTGAGCTAATGTGTTCTTTGTGTAATCACGAAATCCTGAATGGCCCCGTGTCTTGCCAGGAACCCTAGGCCATACAATATTAGTTTTTTTTTTTTTTTTTTTATAAGACAGAATAGTTTGTGATGTAACACCTTAGGGTCTATTTCAATATAAAGCACGTTCCACTCCACCAAAGCCGTCTACATACAACAGAGTGTGGTAGAGAGAGAGGGTAGTATATACATTGTTGTTGTAGAAGATTTCCAAATTTACATGATCCCGCCTAAAGGATTGAGACTTGATTGTAGCAGTGCCTTGTAAAGTAGACTTTTCCAAGTCATCATATATATGTTCTCTGCTGGGTAACCGGTGCCCTGCGATTAACAGACAGAATGTGTCCAAGTCCTTTAGGAGAAGATGCTCAAAAATTTTCAATATTGCTCTCTTGGTTCTCAGGGGACGAAGCCCGTAGGGTTGGATGATGGGGGTTAGTCCCCTGCTCCTGACTGTGAGTGACCTAGACTACAAGGTAATTGCTAGTGTTAGTCTCAGCAAGTTATAGAGAAGAAAATGCGGCAGGATACTCGTAGATCCTTTCCCGGTAGATTCCCGGGAGTATTGGAGGGAGTCAGACGCTTTGGTCTCGATAGCAATATGGGTAATAGCCTATCGATGAATTGACGGCCCCGGCGGAACGAACGCAAAGAAGACATAACTCTTGTGCTAAGGAAGTCAGAAAGAACTCGTATGAAATCAAAATTGTAGTGATGGGTATCTACAATACAAGCAATAATGTACAATAGAAATAGTAAGCCCCTCCAGACGCCAAATGATGCAATATCTATAAAACCACGCAGGAACCAAAGCCCAGAAAAACACCGATACTCGAATGTTACCAAGAAGATCATTTAGCTGGTTTCAACAGGCCGCCCTCCTCGATGGCCGTCTGAATAGCATCTGCATCCCTCTCTAGCTCCTCTCGCCGCTTCACATCCGATTCGTCTTCGCCGAGAGTGTTGAGTTTTCCAAAGAGCCAGGTTTCTTTCATTGTACGGGTTAAAGAGAGAATATCTTCGGCGGCACGGACCTGTGATTGGTCTGGTTAGTGACAGGAGCTAGTGCTGTTAAGCTCTGCACAAGGTAAATATATGGATGTACGTATACATACCAATGCAGTCGATTCAACGTCGAGTTGGTATGTTTCTACTGCTGTTGAAGTATGGCTGGTACTCTCAACCTGTGTGTTACTGGAGTCAGTTCAAATGATCGTTATAGCGCAAGGAGAAGACGGACTGTTGCTGTTGCCATAATATTCTCGAATCTTTGAAGTAATTGGGAGATATTGGTGTTGATGCGATCTGCGGAGTATGTTGATTAGAAATGCGGGTGGAATGGTGATGTTATACATGTCAATACGGTGGAATGGGTTTCGCACAATGCAATGCCTTGGATGTTGGCTGGGAGTCCATTTTCGCTTTCTTAGGGCAAACTATTCAGTGATGATGCGTTTGTTAGTAGATAGTTGTTGGAGTGATAACTGATAGAGATAATTACTATCTGCGATGAAGGCGGCTTGTCTGGCGGTGGAGATTATTGCCGACATTATTGTATCCGTTGATCATTACTAAAGAGGAGCACTACCTGTAGATCATGCTTGGCTTGATCATAGCGCTTGGAACACGAATTTAGAATACAGCAATACTGACCCGCAATTACTTTTTTGTTTTTTTTAATTTTTTTTTTTTTTTTTCGATGTGGATGTGTCATAGTGCTTGCAATTTCAGTGTACATTAGCTATAAAGGTAGTCTGGCTATGGACCATGGCTGGTACTTGGAGAGGGCAAAGAGATCTGGCAAGCCATAAAAACAATGCAAACTATGAGCAACCCCAGTGACATTGCGAGAGCCATATGACGATTCTCATGAAATTGTGGCTCCGGTAATAAAGGACTTCAGTCATTGCACTCCAGTCTCAGTGAGACAACGTTGCCCACCGCATTCCACTTGTTCCAGAGGAGCTTCTCACGCAGATAGATCAGTAGAACGCTGCCTGATATACTAGCCGTTCTGTGAGAGCAGTATTTGGCGTAGACATCGACTCGGCGCCAGAAAATTATATCATGACAGTTCACCAAACCATCGAATTGTCATTGAGTCATTTTTGTATTGGTATCAGTGACTCCATATTAAGATGGTGCATCCAATGTTTAGTTGGGATGAGCCGTAGCAGGCTTCGCGCAACTTATCTGACGTACTTGCCCTACACGTGTGTGTTAGTAGAAACGTCAAGGAATTATGAACAGGTATAACCTACCATAAACCTCTTGTGGAAGTCCGATCGCAACAAATCCTATATGTGATTAGCGCCAAGTCAACACGACCAACCTGGACAAGCTTACGTTGACAAACTCCTTTCCTCTCTTATCCTCAGTTCCCCTGGCTTGGTTTTTGAAGACCACATCGTCATCCCAGCGGCGTTTCAAGTTAAAGTCCTGAGCGTTAAGCAGCGGGTTTCCTTTGGCAATATCATATTCACGTTTCTCTTCCTCTTCAGCAGCACGTTCGCGCTCTTCTTTCTCCTTTTGTTCTTGTCTCTCCTTCTTGATCTTTTCCAATTCTCGCATCAACTCGGCGGCCTCATCTTCTTCATCGTCACTGAAGACTTTTGTCAGCATAGCTGACTTGCCTGTGAATCAAAGCAACAAACCTTTCTTCTTCACTACTGTCATCCTCAGACCCATCTGAATCTGCATCTATGTCCCGCGTCTCCTCTAGTATTCGCCGCCGTTTGGCTTCCGGGTCTTCATCCTCTGTCCCAACTGAATCACCACCAGATGGACCGTCTTCTAATTGGTGTTTGGGTGCTGTGTTCTCGACGGCTGGTTCATTCACGGGGATACCCCTCTTCTTCGCAAAATGAGCGGCTTCGGCTTGGAGCAATTCGGCGCGCAAATCGCGCTGTTGAGCTTCACCTTCACCACCCTGGCCGAGTTGACTTGAACTTATTAGAGGTGATCACGCCCACAGCACAGAGCCGACTTACCGAGTCTTCAAGTGCGTATGTGCTGGGAGCAGTCGCTGGTGGTATGCAGGGCCACGCAGAGCCTCTTTCCCTTGTGCCTGTTCTCCGTGAGTCTATATTTAAGTATACCGGATAGAAGTAGACGCATACTGGATCGAATGTGGGCCTGTGTGCTATGTGTGGATTAGCGCAATGCTACTGCGATAATGTATCTCAAGCTTTTCTCACCTGTAGTCATGGTGGGCAACAGAATCCGCGTTTGGGAAATTTCCGATGGTTGTCTTTCAAGGTTGAATGACCGCCGAAGCAGTGCTCCGCGGATGGCCTCAGGTTGAAAGCTGAATCAGCAAGTACACACCGCCTTTGAAGTACGCTACATGTGATTGGGTTATGATGATCGACATCCCTGGGAACAACTTTGGCCCGCTCTTCAATGACGCTGCGGAGTGCAGGAAATTTTTGTAGAAAGTCCGTCTTGCTGACCCCGCTGGGGCCGAGTCCGCCTCCACAACCATGAACAAAGAAGCACCGCTCTCAATTGCCGAGCGCGACTTCATCCTCAATGCTCTGCGTGAGGATGTAAGACTCGATGGCCGTCAGGCCGATCAATTTCGTCCCTTAAATGTGTCGTTCGGCGAAGAATACGGGCATGTGAAGGTCCAGCTTGGCAAGACTAGGTCCGTATTATGCTGCTCGAGGTACAATTTTCCAATATACATATTAACCTCAACCTACAGCCTCATTGTCCGCATCTCGTCTGAAGTTACAAAACCCCATGATGACCGTCCATTCGATGGTATCTTTACTATTGCCCTGGAGCTGACCGCTATGGGCTCTCCCGCTTGGGAGAATGGCCGGTACGTTTATCTCACAGCTCACAATGTCGGGGGATATGTAGCTAATAACACCTGGGACAATAGCCAGGGCGACCTTGAGACTTACGTGTCCAACGTCTTAGACAGAGTGATCCGTCATTCGAACGCCCTTGATACGGAATCGCTTTGCGTTTTGAAGGGTGTCAGTTGCTGGAATGTTCGGGCAGACGTGCACATCACAGACTACGACGGCAACCTGATTGATGCGGCCTGTATTGGAGTTATGGCGGGTCTTCAGCATTTCCGTCGGCCAGATGCCGTGGTCAAGGACGGTCAAGTGATCGTCTACGGAGTCGACGAGCGGGTCCCAGTCGCATTGAATATCACACACAAACCATTATCGGTCACATTTCATACCTTTGATGAAGGAAAGCGGGTCATTGTGGACGCCACTCGAAAAGAAGAGCAGGCCTCTGAGGCGGACGTGGTCATGGGCCTGAATAATGCAGGCGATGTATGCTACCTCTCAAAGTTCTCTGGGTCCCCAGTTAGTGCCATGGTGTTCGTGAACAAGTCATCCGTTGCACTTGAGAAAGTGAAGGAGATCAACGGCATCATTGACAAGGCGCTACAAGCTGACCTCGCAAAACGGGCTAAGGGCGGCTTGATGGAGGAGTCTAGAGCGACGAACGATCGGTAGACGTGCGAACCTGTCATAACTTCAATCTATCTTTTCAAACGGAATCAATGTGCTTAATACGCTTAAGATTTGTTGTATCATAGATATCAAATAACGGAGTCTATTGTGTGTTCTTGGCACTTCTCAACTACGATCAAAGACCGTTCTACATAGACAGTAAGCTCACCTTTTTTTTCACCTTTTTTTTTTTTTTTTTTCCCTCCCTCCCCTTTGCCTCCTTGAATGTAGACATATTCGGAGTACACCGTAGATAGGGTACTTTGAGTTGCGGCCAGGCAGCAATCACCAGTGGGACTGCATTTTTCATCTGGTTTCAAGTAAAATTGGACCCACGGTGGAGAGAAAGTGACAGATTTAATCTAAAAATGCAAACCCAACACTCGGCATTGCAGCGCTCATGCTTTCTTCGGACGTTCTAGAGCTCGTTCGTCGTTACAGTTCTAGGCACCACAGTGACTTCTGAATAGTAGGAGCTCTCTTAATGATAGCTTACAGTTCATCGGGTACTTCAACATCGGAGAGACTCTATACGAGTGCTACAGCTCCTGTCTTAACAAGCTTTCTTCAAGAGGTTTCAAACCCGTATGCGTTAGGGTAATTCAATTGGGACTATAATAGTATTTATGTAGAGAGATTTAAATTCTTATTGGTGTGTATCAAGAAATTAAAGTGGGTTATATAGTCCAGTAGGAAGGGTTGAGAAAGACTCGGGAGACCAGACAATCCAGAAGAATTAACAGGCATTGAAAGGCCTGTTCGGGATATAAGTTGCCTTAATTAGATAGTATGTTTATAATGCTGCATAAAACATGACAAAGCGAGATTCTCGTTGTACTTGGTCAAGTTTCAAGTATTTCAGGAAATCCGAAGAATCTGTCTCAGTTGGCAGTTGTCAGCCACGTTGGGTGGAAACTTTCCGACAGGTGCATACCAGAGATCTCTTGTCGTCTCGTTTTATGAAGAAGAACAGTGGTACTCTGGGAGGGCGGAGTGGGGAGTGAGACGCGCATCGTCGAGGCGCAGGGACGCTTATTTTGGATTTATTTTTAAAACCATTGGCGAGACAGGAACGAATTAATTGACTTAATTTATCTTCCTATTTTTATGAGACTAATCAAAGAATTGAACTGAAAGAAAGAATTAATCTGTACCAAGTCAAAATAACCCAGGAACTAATCTCATACTAACTAAGTGCTACTACTACTACTACTACTACTACTACTAACTAACTACTCGGTAGTTAGGAGTATTACTTACTAGTACAGTAATCGAGAGGGAAGATCCCCAAAAATAAAGAAAGAAAAAACCACCCCCCCAGCCACTGACGGAGATCCAAAACAACACCGCCCAAGACTAGCGTTAAAGCCGCATCCCAACGAATAATAAGCCTTCTTCCAGGCAGTCGTCAGATTTCCTTCTCCATTCTGTCACCTCCGGTTTCCGTTCGCTTCGAGTTTCATGATTATTGCTTTTTCTTCTTTTTTTCCCTCTTGCACTCCCTTGCGCAATCCAAAACCTCGTGGGCTGTAGTCGTTCCATACTTGCATCGTCTCGCTCCTTTTTTTCCTTCCCTCAGTCACTGTCGATCAATGCTCCAGGGGCATAACGTTGCTCTGACGGTGTCTACCCGCCTCGAGCATCATGGCCAGCGGTAGGCCTCCCGGTCACCACCCAGCCGCTGGCCGCGATGACGACCTGCTGCAGCTGGAGGACACGACCCCTATGTATAATTCTGGACAGGGCCCGCCCGTCAACGACGACCATTTGTTGCGACAGTACAATATCGATGATTCCGATTATCCCCAGGCGCGACCTTCAATTTCCTATGACCAGTTTGTCGGCGGACAGGCGCCGCCGCACTCCGGTGCCCATGCGACAGTCTCCGCGCATCCCCCGCCGCAGGCCGGGGCGTACATAGGCGATCCTTACATGGGGGCCGCCAATGTATCTCGAACGTATTCCCAAACCTCGGGCTTGGACAACTACCGGCGTTACTCCGTCGACGAATACGATGATGGGTACTACCATGTGGATGATCATGATGATTATATGCAGTCCGAACATCGTGTGCAGGAGGCGAATCAGCGGAATAGTATACTGGGCTTGGGAGGCGGGCTTATGGGAAGAGCAAAGCACATGCTGGGCATGGGTCAGGAATACTCGGACATGAACCTTCCTCTCACCGAGGCCGGTGCAAGGGCGGCACGAGTTGACAGCGCCGAACACGCCGAGGGGGGCATACCCCCGAGTCAGAAAAAGTCGAGGAAGTCGGATTTCAAGTTTGGTTTCGGGCGGAAGAAGGTCGACCCTTCGACTCTCGGACCTCGCATGATCGTGTTGAACAATCCCCCGGCCAATGCGGTGCATAAGTTCGTCGACAACCACGTCTCCACAGCGAAGTATAACATCATCACCTTTATTCCGAAGTTCTTATACGAACAGTTCTCGAAATACGCCAATTTGTTTTTCTTGTTCACCGCTGTCCTCCAGCAAATCCCAAACGTGTCGCCGACAAATCGTTACACCACAATTGGTCCATTGCTGATTGTGTTGTTGGTCTCTGCTATCAAAGAACTTGTAGAAGACTATAAGCGGCGCTCTTCTGACAAGTCTCTGAATTACTCGAAAACTCAAATCCTGAAGGGATCGGCATTCCACGAAACAAAATGGATCGATGTCGCAGTGGGAGATATCGTTCGCGTTGAGTCAGAGCAGCCCTTCCCCGCTGATTTGGTTCTGTTGGCGTCTTCTGAACCTGAGGGCTTGTGCTACATCGAAACCGCCAACTTAGATGGAGAGACCAACCTAAAGATCAAACAGGCAATTCCGGAGACCGCACATTTGGTAAGCCCCGCTGATCTTAGCCGACTGAGTGGCCGGGTTCGGTCGGAGCAACCGAATAGCAGCCTCTACACCTATGAAGCTACCCTGACGATGCATGCCGGAGGAGGGGAGAAGGAACTCCCTCTGGCACCGGACCAGCTTCTTCTTCGAGGAGCTACCCTGCGAAACACGCCGTGGGTTCACGGTATTGTCGTTTTCACAGGCCATGAGACGAAACTGATGCGAAATGCGACAGCGACTCCGATCAAGCGGACGGCTGTAGAGCGCATGGTCAATGTTCAGATCCTCATGTTGGTCAGCATTCTGATCGCTCTTAGTGTTATCAGCTCTGTCGGCGATCTTATTATCCGAAAAACCGCAGCCGACAAACTCACCTACCTTGACTATGGCAGTACGAACGCAGTAAAGCAATTCTTCCTGGATATATTCACATATTGGGTCCTTTATTCCAACCTTGTCCCAATCTCGCTCTTCGTGACAATTGAAATCGTCAAATACGCTCAGGCGTTCCTGATCAATTCTGACCTCGATATCTACTACGACAAAACAGACACTCCGGCAACATGTAGAACGTCGTCGTTAGTCGAAGAACTTGGGCAGATAGAATACATCTTTTCAGATAAGACAGGAACCTTGACTTGCAACATGATGGAGTTCAAGCAGTGTACAATTGGTGGCATCCAATATGGTGAGGACATCCCAGAAGATCGACGAGCCACTGTAGAAGACGGAGTTGAAGTTGGGGTACATGACTTCAAGAAGCTCAGGGAGAACCTACAAGGAGGTCATCCGACAGCAGACGTGATTCATCATTTCCTCACACTTCTCTCTACTTGCCACACTGTTATCCCTGAAAGATCTGAAAAGGAACCCGACAAAATCAAATACCAGGCAGCCTCTCCTGATGAGGGTGCTCTCGTTGAAGGTGCTGCAACGTTGGGCTACCAATTCACGAACCGGAGGCCTCGCTCAGTGCTCGTCACAGTAGGGGGCCATGAGTATGAGTATGAACTGCTGGCTGTCTGTGAGTTCAATTCGACGCGTAAACGAATGTCGACGATCTTCAGGTGTCCAGATGGGAAGATTCGAATCTACACCAAAGGTGCAGACACCGTCATCCTTGAGCGTCTTAATTCCGACAATCCCATTGTGGAGGCGACTTTGCAGCACCTGGAAGAATATGCTTCGGAAGGTCTCCGGACTCTTTGTTTGGCCATGCGTGAAGTTTCTGAGGAAGAATTCCAACAGTGGTACCAGATATACGACAAGGCTGCAACAACTGTTGGTGGAAACCGTGCAGACGAGCTTGACAAAGCTTCTGAGCTTATCGAGAAAGATTTCTACCTTCTTGGAGCTACTGCCATCGAGGATCGACTGCAGGATGGAGTCCCCGACACAATCCATACGCTACAGACTGCGGGCATCAAGGTCTGGGTTTTGACCGGTGATCGACAGGAAACTGCCATCAATATTGGAATGTCTTGCAAGTTGATCTCGGAGGACATGACGTTACTAATTGTTAATGAAGAGTCGTCTCAAGCTACTCGAGAAAATTTAACCAAGAAGCTGCAAGCTGTTCAGAGTCAGAATGCTTCGGGTGAAATTGAAGCGTTAGCTTTGATTATTGACGGACGCTCCCTGACATTCGCGCTAGAGAAGGACATGGAAAAAATGTTCCTGGACCTTGCTATTCAGTGCAAAGCTGTAATCTGCTGGTAAGTTGTCATAGTCTGCTCCTATTAGACGCTCAGGTGCTGATAGCGCCCCCAGCCGTGTTTCTCCTTTACAGAAAGCCCTGGTAGTCAAACTTGTGAAGCGTCACCTCAAATCCTTGCTTCTCGCTATAGGTGACGGTGCGAACGACGTGTCCATGATTCAGGCCGCACATGTTGGTGTTGGTATTAGTGGTCTTGAAGGTCTCCAAGCCGCTCGGTCTGCCGATGTGTCTATTGCTCAGTTCCGTTATCTCCGCAAACTTCTCCTTGTCCATGGCGCTTGGAGCTACCACAGAATCAGTCGTGTCATTCTGTATTCTTTCTACAAGAATATTGCCCTTTACATGACACAGTTCTGGGTAAGTGATGTTCTGACTTTCTATTCACCGACTACTCTGAAAGCAACTGACAAAGACATAGTACTCCTTCCAAAATGCTTTCTCCGGTGAAGTTATCTACGAGTCATGGACCCTGTCCTTCTACAACGTCTTCTTCACTGTGCTTCCTCCGTTCGCGATGGGCATCTGTGATCAGTTCATCTCCGCTCGATTATTGGACCGGTATCCTCAGCTGTACCAGCTTGGACAGAAGGGGATGTTCTTCAAAAGGCACAGTTTCTGGTCATGGATCTTAAACGGTTTCTATCATTCCTTGCTACTATACATCGTCTCGGAGTTAATTTTCCTCTGGGATCTTCCTCAAGCAGACGGCAAGGTTGCTGGCCACTGGGTATGGGGATCTGCTCTGTACACAGCAGTCCTTGCCACTGTCCTTGGGAAAGCGGCACTGATCACTAACATTTGGACCAAATACACGTTCATCGCTATCCCCGGATCAATGGTTATCTGGCTAGCGTTCCTTCCAGCATATGGTTATGCCGCACCCGCTATCGGGTTCTCCACAGAGTACTACGGCACCATTCCCCATCTCTTCAAATCGCCTATTTTCTATCTCATGGCTATAGTCCTCCCATGTATCTGTCTTCTTCGGGACTACGCCTGGAAATATGCCAAGCGGATGTACTACCCGCAACATTACCACCACGTCCAAGAGATCCAGAAGTATAATGTGCAAGACTACCGCCCACGCATGGAACAGTTCCAGAAGGCAATCCGCAAAGTGCGCCAGGTTCAGCGCATGCGCAAACAACGCGGCTATGCATTCAGTCAGGCTGATGATGGCGCCCAAATGAGAGTCGTCAATGCTTATGATACCACGAGAGGAAGAGGGCGCTACGGTGAAATGACCAGTTCCAGAGCCTTAGTATAACGATCTGATTTTTTTCCCCCTTTTTTGTTTTTACCTTCTTTCCTGTTCATCGCATCTATGTATTAGTTGCATTTGCAGCGGTCTGATGACCGACCTCCCTTTATCGCTCTCTATCTCCCTCTTGCTAACCTTAACATTTATCTTCCTTATCTCTCATTTTTTGGGCTATATTACACGATGGTCCTACTCTTTGCTTTTAGCTACCTACGTTCCCCCTTCCTATCTTCTCTATGAGCCAATGTGAAAATCTTGAATTTTGTGATATCAATTTCTTCGACTACACCACTTTGTTGATGTTTTTCTTGAACATGGATGACTTGTGATGTCTAGATAGGTTGAACAGACATGGGTGATGATGCATTGCCCATCTTCTGTCGAAATATTCTTCTACGTAAGTAAACCCGTGTAATTGCGCTAGACTCCATATCGTAAGTTAATCTCCACCGATCTCCATAGTCGGCAATCAATCTGATCTCACAAACTATTCACAAGGTGACAGTGTCTAGACGAACAGTAACAGATGGGATACCAAACCAAGTACTACTAAAAAGAAACCAAGATCTTCCTCAAATACTAGTATAGATACACCTAAATGCCTACTTTAATAGCCATTACAGATTCGTGATTATTCACTACTAGTAAGAATAGCCAGCCATTAGACGTATAGGCAAACAGTTATCATCTCCCGAAAGCACCATACTAAGTATTTCGGCGTCAGATGTAAATTCGTCCAGCGTAAATTTCGTCATCGACCATGGGGACCGCTGTTCATTATCAATATAGGGGAGGAGCCTTACGGTCGTTCTGCCAGCCACTCTCATGTCAATCCTAGGCTGAAGGGGGTGAGCGATTTTACTTTCAAGGCTTGCAACGATTCGTTGGTATATTTGGCCTTCTTTTTTTCTTAAAAAAAAAAAAAGAAAAAAGATTATTAAGAAACCAAGATTGGATTAATTGAAATTATATTATGTGTTACAAAAATTTTAACCAGAAGCTATCTTGTACACCTCTCCCCAGCAGGCCTCCAACCAACCCCCAAACCCTCCATAACACCTCTTTCCCTTTCTTCCCACGTTCTCCCCTCTCGCTCAAGATCAATCACTTGTCCTCCAGTAGTACGTTCCCTAACCCCACTGGAATCAAATTTCCATCCCCGTGATTTCTTCGCGTATCGGCGCAGATCCCGTTCGAAGGTAGTATCGCCCGACCAGCCGAGGATGGCACATCCGACGGTGCGCCAGGGGGATATGATGATATCCACACGGCGGTGGGGGTTAGGGTTACGTTTCCGTTTCTGGCGAGATTGTTCTTCAGCATCTGCATCAGACGATGGAGTGGGGTCTGAGTCGTCATCGAAGTTCGGGTCTTGCCATACGACAAGAGCTTTGTCTAGACTGTCGAAGTGTTTCCCTGTATCGTCTCCCTTGTAGGGTAGAGTCTGTTGATCTCGATTGGATGTGGTCATATGCAAGGCTAGAGTATGTGTGATCCAGCCTTCTGATTCGAGGCTACCGACGATATCGACGACCAGGTTCTTCGTTACGGACTCTTCACGGTGAGACAGGATAAGATCAACATCCCCGCTGACCTCCTTCCCACGTCGATACCCACCCACCACAATACATTCAACTCCACGGCCGTCGTATCGGGCATCTGGACGGACGAGATTAGCGTGGCGATGGATGATCTTGGCAATATCCTCAACTTCGTGGCGAGGGATACCCTGCAGGAACTCGTCGTAGTATTTCACGCCGATCTGCTGCACGCGGGAGAGGCTGTCCCAGCCGTGTTCGACTACATCATCTAGATCTCGCCATTGGCGGTAGTAATAGAAGTCACGGGCTGTTTTGGCGCCTACGCCCCATATATTGTAGAATTCGTTTAGGACTCTGAGGACCGGGTCTGTGTCTAGTGCCGTCGCAGCTTCAAGGGTGCCATCTTCGCTTTGCTGGTATTCGGCGAAGAGGTTGGCGATCTTGTTATCGCAGCCCGGTAGGGTGAGGATTTCGGATGGACGGCGGAATTCGTACGGGTAGGCGGCTATTGATGCGATGGAGGTGCTATAAGCTCGCACGCCAATTTCGTCGAGAGTTAGCTCTCGGATTTTACGGATTTTGACTAGTTGGTTGATGAATCTTTCGTTGGGTGGGTGGAGAGGCGCGGATCGCATGCAGGCGTACAGGGTATGGTCCTTGACCCAGTCTGGGGCTGGCGGCAAGGGGGCTGTTTCTTCGTTTTCGGATGTAGTCTGTCGGTATAGTTTTGGTGGGCGATGTTGGCTAGATGGTGCTTCGTGGGTTCGGCGAGAGAACCGGTTAGATGGTGCCGGGGGTGGCTTGAGAAGGGTGTCTTTCTTTGCCCTTTGTAGTATATCGCTTGCCTGGGAGCCTCCTGCCTCTGTGACATTCGGTTTAGTGGCAGGGCGCTCGACCTTGCGAGCTTCGTATACCACGTACGGGTCAAAGGGCAAAAGCTCTTTTGCTTCAACACATCGGTCTAACCATTCTAAACGGACAACTCGGAGTATATCTGCTCGCTCCCCCGAACCTGATTGGGCTGATACGACTGATAATCGATCAGTTGATACGGACCTTGGTCTTGGTCGCTTTAAATGTTTGCCGGTGCCATGTTTGCTTCGCACGCCGTCTTCTTCACTCTCTGTCTCCGTACTGAGGTCAACCACGTCCACCTCCGTGACGACTTCCACAGGTCGCGGAGTGGGTTCATGGATGCCACCTCTCTTCGTTAGGACTGTCGGAGTCGAAAGGTCAAGGTCCTCTGTCCATACACCACGGGATCTTAGCTCCAGAGCGGCCCGTTTCTTCTGTCCGATTTTGCCGAGAATCAATCTCGCCTCGGAAACATCGTATGTTAGGCTTGCATCTCGACTGACAAGACTCTCTTCTATTTGATGCAGTGATTCTAGACTGAGATGAGTAGGCAGCACGAAGATAGTCGGACAGGTGGAGAAGCTTGGTCCGTGACCATCGTGTAAGGATGAGATATCGGATAAATCATCAGACATGGCGGGGTATTATTACCATCGCTCCGTATATATGTTAGTGCATTATATATAAGATAATGATTAGATGTGCATATATATAAAGATTCAATATAAACGTGGCGCAATACAAGTTGAGTATTAGGTCCCCATCGTGCACGTTCAGTAGATAAATTGTCGTCAAGGGTTAGACATCATTTATTTTAAATTTAAGTTAGAAATTCGTATTGAATTAATTGCGATACGAGCCCCACAACTGGCAGAGATTACTCAATTGCGCACCTGCAGTAGCTTCTCGGCAATAAGGGTCAATCGGTGGGCATCATAGTACGAGATCTTGTCTTGCGCGTCTTGGGAAGATTTTTGGATAGATGGCTTGTGATGTCATTATATCGGCTTCTGCCTGAGGCAGACTTTGTCTACCGGGAAAGGCATCCATGATCATTCTACATTATGAACTTTGTAATACATCATGCTGTATGCTCAAGGGATAAAAACTTTATTTCGTCATGTCATGTAAATCCCAATCAGTTTCATACTCTCATGAAGTCCGCCATTATTCAACTCTAAGTTCATGCCAACAATATGCATGCATGCTGTTCCAATCCGCCTCAAGCAGGACCATCCACCGGCTCCACCGCAACCTGAGAGGCAGTTTTCTTACTGACAGCACCGTAGCTAGCACCGGACGCGCCGCCCCGTTCTTCGCCCAGAATAGGAGTCTCGCTTCTTGGTGCTGCGACATTGTCACGGTTTCCCTCTTCGTCCGTCACAATGGTCTTTCCGTGTCTTCTCGCAACCCATCTCCTCCATGGCTTGTATACGACAACACTTAGACCACCAATGATGATGAATAACCCACAGATCCCACCACCAATAGCATCGTAGTAGTCTCCGGCTGTCTGCACCCCATCCCAGAATTTACCAGTGGGCTCAGCGACGTTGAGCACCAGAGTGAGCAGCTGAATGACACCGATCACGATAGCGACAACGACAGTCAAGCAAGTTAGCACGATGGAGTAGTACAAAAATGCGATAGGGTCGCGGTGGTTCTGTGAGGGCTGAATTTCGTGATCTTCGCCGATAAGTGGCGTCTCGGCGGTAGAGCTGCCTTCCTTTGGTGGGAGGAAGTTAGCAGCGGGCTGAATGTATAGCGAGAGCATGAGGGCCCCGTCAGTGGTATCGAGGAGGCACATTCCAGCTAGGTGGGTGTTAGTAAGATGATTCACGAGTCACTGTACTGGTTCTAAGCATACCTGTGAAGAGGATCGGGAAGATCAGAATGACCCAGAAATCTGTGCCCCGCGCAGCTTCAACAGAGGAAATTCCAAGGAGGGCTATCTCCGAAGATGTATCGAACCCAAGACCGAAAAGAACACCAAGCGGGTACATCTTCCAAGGGCTAGAAATCTGTTAGCCAAAATTCATTTCACCTTTGATACGGTTCAGCTTACCGGTCAATCAATTTGAACATCCGTTTGAGTACATTGAACAGGACTCCGCCTCCTTCAATTTTCCATGCTTCATCTTCTTGGCCCTCTGGGAGGTCTAAAACTTTCTGCATCTGTTTGTACAGTTTATACAGGATATAGAAGTTCATGAGACCTAACAAGATGAGAAAAGCGGCACTGACGGACGTGCCAATAATTCCGCCGACAGTACTGAAGCTGTCAAAGCGGGACGACACGGCGGCTGCAGTGGCAGCCACAACGATAGATGTGACGATGACAATGCTAATAGGTCATCAGTGCTGTCAATGGGAGTAAGGGAATAAGAGCACGTACGTTGAGTGACCCAGGGAGAAAAAGGTTCCCACAGTAACAGGTTTTTGTCCCGTGGCCAGCAGCCTACGCGTCATCAAATCGATAGCCTGGCATTATATATTAGATGAGTTACTTGTACACAGGACAGGGCACATACTGAGATATGATCAGCATCAAAGGCATGCCTCAACCCTAGGGTGTACGCAAGAACGGCATTAGAGACCAGAGACCTATCGCATTGTCAGTATCAACCAGGTTCTTCCATGTAGCACAGATATCAATCTACTAGTTTGAGCAGGACGACATACGGATAGTAACGCTGAGACATATGTTAGCGAATATCCTAGTATAGACCTCCAAGTTCAATGACCTTCGCTATGACATCGGGAATAACTTACCAGAACAACAGCAACCGCAATCCATACGGCGATATTGATGAATGCAATGAATAATATGATAGCAAGAGCAGGAAAAGGGATTTTGCGAACTCCCGGTATGCGACTATGGGAGCGCTCAGCATGTTGAATGAGTGATTTCGGCGTCCATTTGCTCTTTGCATCAACGCCCTGGGAGTCTGACATGGCCTCCGAGAAGCTGGGAGGAGACGATTCCCGCATGATGAAGTATCTGAATGGACAAGATTGGTTCTCACGGGCGGTCGTAATATCCCGTCTACTTCACTATATAGTTAGTCTACCCGGGGTTTAAAATTCTGTGTTTGTGTCGCGTGTGCGTGAGGGTGGTGGATGAATCTTTATTCCACATGTGGGGTAGGAAGAAAAGTGATAGATAAGAGTAAAACTTATTATCAATAATGACAGACAATGGTGGATCCAGGAAAGAAAAAGCAAACGAGCCAAGCGAACTGGACGAAGTCGATCTGAGCAAATTAAAGCTTGTTTCCTCGCTTGTGGCCGAGTTCCATACTTCGAATCCCTTGCGCTTCACACGGCGTTCCGATGGTTTCCAACCTCGAATCAGCGGTGTGGGGGAAGAAGAATGGCCTGTGAATACGATATGACAGGCGAATAATATACGTCTGGGTACGACCATCGCATTGCTTTTTCTGTCAATCTCAGCCCATCACAAAGTGCAGGATTCATGTGCAATCAATGTGACGGCCGACGACTGCCGATGCCCCACTACGTCCACCCCTCTCGGCATAAATCTTCAAGTCGGAGGCTACCGATGTGACCCTACTCCACTACATATGCAAAAGTCATGATAACAAATGCTTTGAAATGTGTCAATTGCATTTTTAAACCTACGTACACGTCGTTTTGTGTGGCTATTCGGCAGTCTTTACCACGCATCGCTCCTCTTTTATCCTTTGGCGAGATGGTATGTTGACATGAACCGATTCCAGATATCACTCTGGGAAATGCGGGCTTACTTCACGTGTCAACAACGTGAAGAACGGTATCCTCTGAAGTGTTCATACCCGTACTCTATAGATTTGAGTTATGGCGTTGGTCACTAAGGCCGAGTTGGCCGGTTCGCCGATATCTTAGGGCCAGATCCACTTGGGATCGGCATGTTTGGCGGACGATGAACGGTTACGAACCATCTTGGAATGTTCTAGCCGCAACGAAGCAGGACGCCCTACAGTCTTTCGACTCGGGGGTAGGAAAGTAAGGGTTAAGCATGTGATGCCAACCGACATCTAGCTCTCCATTCCCCATATCAAGCGGCGGCGAGAACAGTTGGCGACGGTGTCCATTTGGTGACGGTGGGCTTAGTCTGCTGCAGATTGGAATTGAGTATATTCCACTCGTTCCTCGTAATCGGGGTAACATCAGAAGCAGACTGTGGGGTCTTGGGCCCCCGCTTTGCCGGAGCAGCCCTATATCTCGGTGGATTGGCCTCCATGCGCGCCCGAACGGTGCGCTTCGGGGAGTTCCGACTGCTGTGCTCAGCCCGTGCCCGCGGCGGCAAGATGATCCCTTCCTGGCCGAATTGCTTCTTATAAGTTTGGGCGATGTGGGTCAGGAGTTCGTCCCGCACGTCGAGCTGTTCATATACACGGTGGAAGAATGCTTTACTGAACGGGCGACCCTGAAAATCCCCAATGGTGCGATGCAGGAGCTGAACGCAGGATGTGACGCAGGACGCTTCGGGATTTTTGCCTTGATTGGAAAGGATGCACAGCCGGCGTTTGAATGTATAGATCCGGTCTACATTGAGCAACGTGAGCCCTTCTCGGCTGAAAATGACCTCGTTCTGCATGATCGACTGTTGGACCAGGTATTCGTTGGCCTGACGCTCGTATTGACTGCGGTTTAAGGCGTCGGTCCAGCTCTGGCCCAGCGAGAACTTGCTGGCGGCTTTGACCACGGCGCGGTAGACGGTGCGCCAAGTTTGTTGGTCAAGCTCCTCGATGGGAATTACCATGAGGTCGGACGGCTCGCCGGTGGGGTATGGCTTTCCACGGCCCACTAGCAACGTGGCATGCATCATTTTCTGTTCGAGCTTGTAGGAGATATACTCGAGGGCGGGGAGGATTGAAGGAGGAAGAGTTTCTGAGTCAAAGGTAAAGTCAGGAGAAAGGGGGCTAGAGATCATATCGGTTGTAAGACTGCGAGTTGGAGAAGTGGGCACATAAACACCCGTTGGACGTGGTAGACGAATCACACCCATGGTGGATTCCTGACAAAAGAGCAGATAGTGTATAGAATAAGACTGTTCAGAATGAGTAACGTGGTTCTAGACCACGGACAACCCCAGGTTATTCTCTGGAGGGTCTGATGATAAAAAAAAAAAGAAAAGGAGAGAAAGGAAGGCCCTGGGAAGCCCATCAAGACCTTATTATATTTCCCTCATCATGCCAGATGGGATGGACTAAAAGAGGGGAAGGTATTATCATCATGAGAGTCAACACACCAAATTTCTCTAAATTGGGTGTTCTAATCATAGCAAATTGTTGCAGCAATCAGATTGGATTCCAAGGGAACGGAAGCCAATACATTGGCCCCATCACGATAACCTTAAGCGCCGACTGTGATGACTTTACGACAACCTGCATATAGTCACCCACTAGCATTGCAGGATCAGCATAATCCTTCAAGTATGATTGGCTGAATGGATCCGAAAATAGCACCAATTAACCATTTATTTTCCTAGTAAATTCAGGGTCATTGGAGGGTGGTTCGCACCAAATGTTCTAAAAATGGATAACCCTAACAACGTCCTCATTGAATTCGGATACAACCATCACATAGCACAATAGAGTAGAGAACATTCACCTAATTAACCCAGCACCAGCACTTCCACTACAAGTAGTACCCCTCTTTCAGCGAACCTACCCCCTCTCGACCGTATAGCCGGGTCCAAGTGGCTTCCATCTGGCCCGAAGATTGGAGCCAATGTTCGTTGCACCCCGCTCAAGGCCGACTCAACGGTAATTCCACTCCAATAATCACCCAACGCGTTGCTACTGCGATACGCACCTGCAGTCGTACTCAGCCTTAGGGTAAGCACTTGCAGAAACTATTGAAATCCTGCATATGACTGGCGGTTGACGTCTGGTTCTGGAGGCAAGCTCACATTTAGTGTTCAATTTAGCTTGCGCTATCATCCCCGGTCACTGATCTTCCTGGACATAATGGTGTGTACCCCGCTTTGAGTGATTTTTGTTTCCTAGCGAAGGAACCCTTGTGGCGTAATCAACTGTACAGTTGGCTTCAATCCATGGTGCCTTCACTTTCCTCTTCTTAAGGCTTGCATGGAGGAACTTCTAGGGGATGTGGTGGATTGATTACATTACTCCCTTCGTCCCCATAATTAGTAATATCTTAACTGTATCTATCAGTCTTACATGTAGACGTTGGGTGGAATTGTTGGCGCTATTCTACTTTGACCTATCGTGTTCACTCTAGGCATTCCCCACCCCATAAATCTTCTATTTCTAAGTATTCCTTTTTTTTTTTTCCTGTATATACCGCATGCCTGTGATCTTGGATTCCTACTAACCAACCCCATGGTTTGCTAGATTAACCGTGGAGATATACTGTCATTAGATTCGATACCTCTATGCTCTCCCACCCACATCCAATCTCCCAGTAGTTTTATGATATCTGAGTAGAGAGAGAGAGAGAGAGAGAGAGAGAGAGAGAGCCCTTCCATGCGGATGAATGGTTGGACCTTTCTTGCGTGAGATCTGGGTCTGCAGGAAACTCATATCTCTCGCGGGAGAATTCGCCAGCTTCCGCAGGGGATATGCTACAAGCGTACTTTGACATTCCTTTTTACGTTCTATACGAATCTCCTTCATCGATAGAAACCAAGATTGTTTTCTGGAGCAATCTCGGCACAGTATTCACTTACTCCTCAAACAACTATACATCATGGCTTGCGTGAGGAGCTGTTTGAGCCTAGATCTGGGAATAAATAGAAATAGCTTAATTATAGATTATATATAAGATCCAGCCATCGCTACTTATAATTCCAGATAAGATATCTCAGAAGTCTTATACTTTATTCCAGCCTTCAATATTCTTATAATATTTATAAATTTCTCTAGAAGAGAAGTCGATAGAGCACTTAACTATACAGTCCAATAAACCCCACTTCTCTAAATATCTTTCAGTAATTATAAGCAGTCAAATATATAAAGTTATCTTACCACTTACTTCTATTACTTAAGATTTATAGGTAGTTCAAATATCAAGTTACTCTTATAGCCAAGAAAATTAGAATAACAGCCCTCTAGGAACAAAGGACCGGCCTGTATACTCTGCCAGTGTCTATAATACTAGTAATATAACCACTGTTTATCGATACAAAAATATTAGGAGTACAAAGATCTAAGTACTATAAGAATGACCCTAAAGTATCTTACTCCAGTAGAATTAGATGAGAAGCAACAGATAGATAGATATCTCTAGAGAAGAGAAACATGTTCCGCGGGATTGTTCTGGCTGTGCTAAACAGACAACAGATTGTTTAGAGAATCCGGAATTGTATATTTCTGGATCCAAGCTATCTCTCGAAGGATAAAAAAAATGGAGCAACAGAAAAGTCTCTCTCGACAATATTGACAAAATACTCCGATTCCCTTTTGACATGCGTGGGAATATAGGCATGATTATTACAAACTATCAGAGAATAATGGAAGGATTATCGCAGGAGGCGTGGCTCAGTCTAGTAGATGGACTCCTTGGGTATTCGTCATCACCTGACGTTCCGTGAAGTTGATACAAAGTTAGGTCTGTTTCTATCACGCTCATGGGGCCGTTTAGTCAAGCCCTCGAGGTCATAGCTTCGAGGGGGATAATTCCGTCTGCGTTCAGTGCCTCTCAGCTGATACTCTTTGGAAGTTAGGTCTGTGGAAGACGTTTGATTCTCAAGTCATCAATCAAGCTCCGTTTAACATTTCATAGCCTCATAGGCGATACACCAGAATGGCGAAGAAGTGCCTGTCGAAAAGGTCAAAGCTGTGATCTATTTTGAGGTTAAAATCTAAGACAAATATTCATCTCCAGTCTGACGATCTAATACTCTTTGCTATGAACAGTTGCGCTGTAGCTTGTCCACAGTCAGTTTGGGAAAACTATGTGTCGGGTTAGGGCGCTTTCCAAGGTAGTTAGGACAGTGTACTTGTACATATGGTAAGTGCGTA